AGTAAAAATGTTCGTTTGGTTCCTCCATTTAATGAGCGGGATGTTGATAAATATTTTACATTGTTTGAAAGAGTGGCACTCACACTTAAATGGCCTAAAAATGTGTGGACTTTGTTGTTGCAGTGTGCATTAAGTGGCAAAGCGCAAGAGGCGTATGCGTCTCTTTCTGTGGCTGATAGCCTTGATTTTGAGAAAGTTAAAAGTGCTATTTTGAGGGCGTATGAACTAGTACCTGAAGCTTATCGTCAAAAATTTCGTAAATTAAAAAAACACTACAATCAAACGTATGTGGATTTTGTTAGGGATAAAGAAATTCTCTTTGATCGTTGGTGCACTGCTAAAAATGTTGCTGACTTTGCACAACTTAAGCAGCTCATTTTAATGGAAGACTTTAAAAACAACTTGCCAGAAAAAGTTACCACCTACTTGAATGAAAATAAAGTGTCGGATGTGTCAAAAGCTGCAGTGCTCGTTGATGAGTACATGCTGACGCACAAAGGTAATTTTGAGCGCTCACATGTCTTTAATAAATTTGACAAATCTGAAAGTAACGGGAAGGAGTGTGCCAAAACTGTTTCACTTGAATCAGATATACCTGCTGCGCTCGGTGGCGTTGAAAGCAAATCGGATAACAGGTTGGATTTAAAAACTAATGTAACGTGTTTTTATTGTAAAAAGAGGGGACACATTGTGGCCAATTGCCCGGTTTTACTGAAAAAGAACGTTAAGCCGGTCGCTCTAATTAAAACTGTAAATCGCGTTACTCAGTCACTTTCAACAACAAAGCCTTGCGAGCATGCTGATTTTAAGCCTTTCGTTATGGATGGGTTTATTTCCGTGTCTCTGACTGGTGAAAAGATCCCTGTAAAAATATTGCGAGACACCGCTGCCTCTCAATCTTTTATTTTGGAGGGGATCTTGCCATTAAATAGTGATACTGCGATTGGTTCTGTTGTGCCAGTTCGTGGTTTTGGCATGCAAGACATCGGTGTTCCGCTGCACAAAGTCGTGATCCAGTCTGAGCTGTGGTCTGGTGACGCTGTGGTTGGGGTGCGTCCTAGTTTCCCAATAGCAGGCGTCTCCATGATCATGGGCAACGACTTGGCTGGGGGTCGAGTGTTGGTTACTCCAGACGTTACACCTGTTCCGGTGCTGCGCGACTGTCCAGATGAGCTTGCTCGTACCTACCCAGATGTGTTCACGTCGTGCGCAGTTACGCGGGCAGCACGTAAACGTCAGCAAGAGGAAAATAAAGATGAGTTTGACTTGAGTGAAAGCTTTTTGTTCAATACTGAATCCGACCATGTTCCATTAAATAAAACTGTGGG